CACATACTCTTCTTATCCTCTAATCTATCAACACTTATTGATAATTAGACGGATTCATTATCTCATCGAAATACTCATTGTTGATCTATAGCGCCTCGCTATATACAATATATTTACCACCTACTGCTCCTCTATTTGAATGGCTCGACGAATAAATAGACGGAGTAAACAATGCAAAAATGCTAAACGCACTCGTAATTATTTACGGGGAGTTAAAGCTCACTGCAAGGAAACTACGGCCACAGGGGGAAAGTTTGTTCTAAATCTATCAAGATACAACTTATCCCAACATGAACTCTCAGTTCTAAGCAAAGGCTTAAAATTTATTCCAACGCCTAAAAGCGACAATGCTAAAAGCCTGCTGCTCAAAGATTTTGAAGAATTTGCCAGGAAACTCAGATGCAAATTCCACTTTGATACCGGAGACGACAATGCCATTCACCCCTTTAACACAAAATCTGGCTACAAACCGCCATTTACATGCAGCGAACTCGAGGAATATATAGATAAAACAAAATTGGAACTTTCCTCTTTGGAAATTGCAAAAAAGAGATCAAACATCTCAAATGCTGAAAGAGAAGCTATTTTATCTCTTAAAAATAACAACGACATTGTTATTAAAAAAGCAGATAAAAGCAACACAATTGTCATCATGAACAAAGACCAGTATGTCTTAGAAGCACAAAGCCAACTGCAATCTAAACACTATATGCAAGTATCTGAACCCAACATGCTCAAACTGCATGAAAACATTCAAAATAAACTTGCCGCAATGCATTCAAATGGGTCACTGGACAAAGAAACTTACAAATTTCTTAATGACAAAAAACCTTCACTCAAATGTGGGCATTTGTACCTTTTACCGAAAACCCACAAAATACCAGCAAACATTTACAATGCTCTAATAAACGGTCAGTGCAGCATTAGGAAATTACCACCTGGTAGACCAATTATCTCGCAATGCGATACGCCAACGAGGAAAATAGGACAATATTGCGATTACTTTCTTGTACCCATTGTACAAAAACAATCAACTTATATCAAAGACACTACGGACTTTATCACCAAAATCGAAGGCCTCACATTGCCAACAAACGCATTATTAATTACTTATGATGTGACGAGCATGTACACAAACATGGAATTCAACGAACTTCTCTCATCAGTAAATGAGGCTTACACACAGGCCAATAAAACGCAATTAGACATTCCATATCCGGACCCTGAGGATCTAAACTTCTTACTGAAATGCGTCTTGGAAAACAATTACTTTGAATTCGACGGAAAATATTACAAACAAATAATAGGAGCAAGTATGGGGGCAGTCCCCAGTCCAGAGATCTGTGACATCAGAATGTATCAAATCACAAAGCATATAATGGCACAATTTCGTCATGCCAGCAAAATTGTCTTCCACGGCAGATACCGTGATGACGGTTTCATAATATTCAATGGAACGCAACCAGAGATAGAAGAATTCTTTAATATCGGCAATCACTGTCACAAGCATCTAAGATTTACATTTGAAATTTCTCCATCTGCTGTCAACTTCCTTGATACTACAGTTTATAAAGGACAGAAATTTCAAAATTTTAACAAACTTGATATCAAGTCCTTTATCAAACCAACAAATAACTTTCAGTATCTACACAGACAGAGCGCTCATAGCCCAGCTGTGTTTAAAGGATTCATTAAAGGAGAATGCATTAGACATGCAAGAAACACCACTGACCCTGAAATATTACATGCAACACTTAATGACTTCAAGACGCACTTATCAAAGCGAGGCTACTCTACTTCGGAAATTGATCCTATTATCAAGGAAACGGTCAACACAAACCGATCAAAACTCATCATCAAAAAGACTAAAGAACAGTCATTACGTAACCCTACAGTACTGGTTACTAAATTTAACCCTTGCGTTAAAGGACTGAAAAAACGAATTCTAAAATATTGGAACACCATTCTTAGAAATCCAGAATGCAAAACTTTATTTAATTCTCAACCAATCATTGCTTACAGCAAACACAAGAATATAGGTGACGAGATAATCCGGTCTCACCTAAAACAAACACCATGATTTATGTCCGTGACCCCTGATGAGGCTTCTTAATAGCCGAAACACTCTACAACTACTTATAATTCAAATCAGATATTAATCTGCTCTATGCAAAAAACATATCTACTTAAAGTGTGGTTTGGAGTGTCGGGTCCTAATAAATCTCTTACAAGTTTGGTTGATTGATGTCGCTAATTTTCACACTTTGACTAGGGACAATGTCCCACCGGCATCATCCCGTGCATCGCCCTCCCTTGGACAGCGATCGACTTGTGTGGTTTATTTGGTCATCCAACAATCCGGCCACACTCTTTGCTTCTATTGTCTTCTAAGACATTTTATTACCAGCACTTCCTTTACCAAATCAGCACATGTTTGTAAAGGATTGAACTGCTACTTCAAAGATCGTCTTTTACGCTTCTCTTATAATCAAATACTTCGGCTTGCTCAAGTATACACATACAATAGTGCCCTTCATTCAATTACTTTGTACCAATGCAAGAAAACCACGAGAATATCAGATTGTGAATACTAGGATATATTGAAGGACCAGATCAGCTTAAACCAGGAAGAATTCATTCAGGATTTGGACAGTCATGTGAAATATTAATCCTCTTATTATCATCATATGATATTAAGACGGGCCTTTATTTTAGCCTCATTTTATGACACTATGTATATCAGACGGCTTAAGATCATCAGGATTTAATTACTATAAAAATTGGTGTGCATTAGCCACCCATTGGACCAGCTCTTAAACAAACACCGCCCCTTGCACGTGACCATAACGAATCATCGGAATCTGACTATCGGTTTCTTATAGCCACATACTCTTCTTATCCTCTAATCTATCAACACTTATTGATAATTAGACGGATTCATTATCTCATCGAAATACCCATTGTTGATCTATAGCGCCTCGCTATATACAATATATTTACCACCTACTGCTCCTCTATTTGAATGGCTCGACGAATAAATAGACGGAGTAAACAATGCAAAAATGCTAAACGCACTCGTAATTATTTACGGGGAGTTAAAGCTCACTGCAAGGAAACTACGGCCACAGGGGGAAAGTTTGTTCTAAATCTATCAAGATACAACTTATCCGAACATGAACTCTCAGTTCTAAGCAAAGGCTTAAAATTTATTCCAACGCCTAAAAGCGACAATGCTAAAAGCCTGCTGCTCAAAGATTTTGAAGAATTTGCCAGGAAACTCAGATGCAAATTCCACTTTGATACCGGAGACGACAATGCCATTCACCCCTTTAACACAAAATCTGGCTACAAACCGCCATTTACATGCAGCGAACTCGAGGAATATATAGATAAAACCAAATTGGAACTTTCCTCCTTGGAAATTGCAAATAAGAGATCAAACATCTCAAATGCTGAAAGAGAAGCTATTTTATCTCTTAAAAATAACAACGACATTGTTATTAAAAAAGCAGATAAAAGCAACACAATTGTCATCATGAACAAAGACCAGTATGTCTTAGAAGCACAAAGCCAGCTGCAATCTAAACACTATATGCAAGTATCTGAACCCAACATGCGCAAACTGCATGAAAACATTCAAAATAAACTTGCTGCAATGCATTCAAACGGGTCATTGGACAAAGAAACTTACAAATTTCTTAATGACAAAAAACCTTCACTCAAATGTGGGCATTTGTACCTTTTACCGAAAACCCACAAAATACCAGCAAACATTTACAATGCTCTAATAAACGGTCAGTGCAGCATTAGGAAACTACCACCTGGTAGACCAATTATCTCGCAATGCGATACGCCAACGAGGAAAATAGGACAATATTGCGATTACTTTCTTGTACCCATTGTACAAAAACAATCAACTTATATCAAAGACACTACGGACTTTATCACCAAAATCGAAGGCCTCACATTGACAACAAACGCATTATTAATTACTTATGATGTGACGAGCATGTACACAAACATGGAATTCAACGAACTTCTCTCATCAGTAAATGAGGCTTACACACAGGCCAATAAAACGCAATTAGACATTCCATATCCGGACCCTGAGGATCTAAACTTCTTACTGAAATGCGTCTTGGAAAACAATTACTTTGAATTCGACGGAAAATATTACAAACAAATAATAGGAGCAAGTATGGGGGCAGTCCCCAGTCCAGAGATCTGTGACATCAGAATGTATCAAATCACAAAGCATATAATGGCACAATTTCGTCATGCCAGCAAAATTGTCTTCCACGGCAGATACCGTGATGACGGTTTCATAATATTCAATGGAACGCAACCAGAGATAGAAGAATTCTTTAATATCGGCAATCACTGTCACAAGCATCTAAGATTTACATTTGAAATTTCTCCATCTGCTGTCAACTTCCTTGATACTACAGTTTATAAAGGACAGAAATTTCAAAATTTTAACAAACTTGATATCAAGTCCTTTATCAAACCAACAAATAACTTTCAATATCTACACAGACAGAGCGCTCATAGCCCAGCTGTGTTTAAAGGATTCATTAAAGGAGAATGCATTAGACATGCAAGAAACACCACTGACCCTGAAATATTACATGCAACACTTAATGACTTCAAGACGCACTTATCAAAGCGAGGCTACTCTACTTCGGAAATTGATCCTATCATCAAGGAAACGGTCAACACAAACCGATCAAAACTCATCATCAAAAAGACTAAAGAACAGTCATTACGTAACCTTACAGTACTGGTTACTAAATTTAACCCTTGCGTTAAAGGACTGAAAAAACGAATTCTGAAATATTGGAACACCATTCTTAGAAATCCAGAATGCAAAACTTTATTTAATTCTCAACCAATCATTGCTTACAGCAAACACAAGAATATAGGTGACGAGATAATCCGGTCTCACCTAAAACAAACACCATGATTTATGTCCGTGACCCCTGATGAGGCTTCTTAATAGCCGAAACACTCTACAACTACTTGCATAATTCAAATCAGATATTAATCTGCTCTATGCAAAAAATCATATCTACTAGAAGTGTGGTTTGGAGTGTCGGGTCCTAATAAATCTCTTACAAGTTTGGTTGATTGATGTCGCTAATTTTCAGTGGATGTGAAAATACAACCATGATAGGTAATTGTACACCAAGAAAGTGCCAATAATGAAGATTTTTATTCAAATAAGGAGCAGTTCTTGATAGGGTATTTTGATCATGCAGTACAATTTAATGAACTGGACATTGATTAGTTAAGGGTCCTCCACACACAGACAGCTTCTGTTCTCATATTATTGAGCATTACTTTTAACAAGCATATCAACCTTTAAAAACTGACCAGGGATTAAAATGTAATTTATACAAAATTTTTAGCTCTTCTGAGCCAAAGGCTCAAAGAGCTAATGCTATGGCCATTTGTGCGATGTGCGTAAACTTTTTAGAATATGGGCCATAACTCAAGAACCCCTTGGCCAATCAGTACCAAATTTGTCATAGGTATCCTTGGCCCAAGGGCTACCATTTTTACTAAAATAAGGGTTGGGACCCTTAAACAAGGGGAGATAATCAGGAAAACAAAACCAAAAGTACTGGTTGCTAAAAAATCTTCTTCTCCATAACCACCAGGCAGATTTTCATCAAACTTACACACAAGGATCAGGATATGTCGAAGATTAAAATTTGCTTGGGAAATTACCCAAGGGCAAAGGGCGTGGTCTCAAGGTCACTTCAAAGTGACCTAAATTTACAATTAATAAAAACGTGTATATTTTGCTTACTATAAGGACTAGGATCATCAATTCTTGTAAGTTGATGCATCTTACGACTTCACATCATGTTAACTCAAAAGTAGGTCACGGTGACCTACTTTTTAAATTTTGCGGGGATTTGTTTTCAAATTGGTTTGAAGGCATAATATTTTGGACACTTTAAGACCTATGATCATCAAACTTTGTCAGTTGATGCATCTTGGGTCCTCGAACAATGTCAACTTAAAAGTAGTTCATCGTGACCTACTTTTTGAACTTTATGACTTATCCTTTTGAAAACATTAAATCCCATTATTTCAGACACTGGGAGGTTTAGAATCATCAAATCTTGTACTTTGATGCATCTTGGGACCTTAAAACATATTTATGAAAAAGTACGTCACTGTGACCTACTTTTTGAATTTTGCGGACATTTGTTTTCAAATTGTTTAAAACGCATATTTTGATTACCTTCAGACCTACGATCATCAAACTTGGTCAGTAGATGCATCTTGGGTCTTTGAAAAATGTCGACCAAAATGTAGGTCACGATGACCTACTTTTGACATTTTATGGCTACATTTAAGTATCTTAGGTATTTATTGGCTTAGAATCATCAAACTTTGTGAGTCCATGCATATTTGGTTTTCAGAGAGTGACGACCTAAAAGTAGGTCACGGTGACCTACTTTTGACATTTTATGGCTTTATTTAAGTATCTCCGGTACTTATAGGCTTAGAATCATCAAACTTTGTGAGTTGATGCATCTTGGGTTTTCGGAATGTGACGCCCAAAAAGTAGGTCATGGTGACCTACTTTTGACATTTTATGACAATAATTAAGTATCTCCGGTACTTATTGACCTAAAATCATCAAACTTTGTCAGTTGAGGCATCTTGGGTTTTCGGAGAACATTATAAAAAGTAGGTCACAGTGACCTTCTTTTGACATTTCATGGCTTTATTTATGTATCTCAGGCACTTATTTGCTAAGAATCATCAAACTTTGTCAGTTGAGGCATCTTGGGTTTGGAAAATGTGGAAAAAAAAATAGGTCACAGTGACCTTCTTTTGAATATCTCAGGTACGTATAAGCTTAGAATCATCAAACTTTGTCAGTTGAGGCACCTTGGGTTTTCGGAGAACGTTGACCAAAAAGTAGGTCACCGTGACCTACTTTTGACATTTTATGGCTATATTTAATTATATCTGGTACTTATTGGCTCGGAATTATCAAACTTTGTCAGTTGAGGCATCTTAGGGTTTCATTTAATGTCCAACAAGAAGTAGGTCATGGTGACCTAATTTTGAATATCTCATATATTTAATTATCTCTGGTACTAATTGGCTTAGAATCATCAAACTTTGTCAGATGATGCATCTTGGGTTTTCAGAGAATGTTGACCAAAAAGTAGGTCATGGTGACCTACTTTTGAATATCTCAGGTACTTATTTAATTAGAATCATCAGTCTTTGTCAGTTAATGTATCTTGAGTCCACAAAAAATTTCAATCAAAAGGTAGGTCACTGTGACCTACTTATGGTATTTTATAATTATATTATAATATCTTCAGTCTTAACTGGCTAAATATTATCAAACTTTGTAAGTTGATGCATTTTGGGTCTTTTGATTCTAATAGAGTTGGAGGCTTTTAATAGAAGTGATAGATTGTACAATTTATCAGAAGAGCGATTCAAGGCCCTTGGGCCTCTTGTTAAAATAATAATTTCACAAGTTTCAAAATATTTTTCCCGAGGCGTTTTCATACGTAGCACCAAAAATTTTGTCTTACCCTATCGTATTTTTTATGCTCACAGAATAACCATAAAAATTTAATGTTAGCGATCAATATATTTTTTAGAGAAATTAATTCAATTTATAAAAAATAAATAAAACTCATTTTCTCTCAAATACATCTAGAGAAAAAACAAGGAAGACTCATTTTGTATAGAAGAAACATCAATGAATTAGATTACCGTTACACCAAAAAATTGAATTAAAATTAAATGCAGTAATGTAGGAAAAATATTTTCAAAATCATTGGTTTCAAAGTTCCTTTTTAGAGTTATCTTTCCTGTTGCCCGAGACTTTAAAACTTTGGCAAGTCTCTGCAATAGTTACTCATTATTGGGTACTGAACTAGTCAGAAATATATGTAAAAGAGGAAAACTAGAAACGCACACTATTTTATTAATATTCATAAACACAATGAGATGACGTATTATTGAAACGCACTAATTAGTGTGCAAAAATATCAATTTTCAACACAGACTCTGTTGATGATAATCATGTCAGTGGGTTGATTAGCCTGAAAGTATAAATAACCTAACAGTTCCCGTCATACCGGCACTTGGTTGTTGAAGAATTATTATGTTATGAAAACCCAGTCATTTGTCTGTCTTTTATAGAAAAAACAGACATCTTTTTCTATCGGTCATTCCGTGACCATGCCATGTTTTCATTGTTTTGAGTGTGCTACATACTTTTCTCTTTCGAAGACTCTCTTACAAGCGGTTTCCAGGCAATTCGCTGATGGAAAATCTAAATAAAACCGGAAGTAAAATTATTTTTTCTATATACGTCACAAGTCACATGGTGTGGAGGACCCTTAAAAAGTCTACAATCATTAGGCATATTGGCCTCAGCTTAATTTACAGACTGGATTAGACAGGTTGATTTTTCCATATTTCATGTTTCCATTGAAATATTTAGACAGAACATTTTTTCAGTACAATACACAATATGGTAGAGACAGCAAATTCAAGCATGAAACAAATCATTTGAATCTTTGCTCATAATATACTTGGCACAATATAAAGTGACCTCATGATCTATGAACTTGACCCTTGACCTTCTTTTCAAAATAAATCACAGGGCCAATATACTGCACCTTCTTTGTCCACTGAGTGGTAACTAAGTCTGATATAAAGCATCATGTACTGTTTTTTTCATAAAACATTTTGGAAAAAAATATATAAGCATTACATAGTGAGTATGATTTTTGGACATATATATCTAACTTGTCCATAAGTTGCTGCCATAAGATGCATCAGTGTTTCCTAAACGCATCTCATTTTCTTTGCAGGCAAATGTCTACATGATAATATATGTACTAGTACTTTTAAAAGCAAATGCTAAAACTTTTTTTATGTCTTCAATGTCCTATAACAAACAATTAACACATACTTTCCTCAGGGAACACTCTATGATGCTTCTAATTGTAATTTAAACAAATGTCGCTATTCTAAAAAAATTTCGTAATTGTGTTTTCTTGTTGTGTACACCATTTCTTACATGTAATGCTGGTAGACTTTTTCTCTATGATGTTTGATTACAGATGCCACCACTGCTGTGAACCTTGAACTTTTACAGAACGTGAGGGACCCTAAGAGTGAGCATACATTATACGGAGTGTTGAACTACACCAAGACAATTGGGGGAGCCCGTTTACTGAGAGCCAGTATTTTACAGCCTTCCTGTGACAAGGGAACCATAGCCATGAGACAAGAAGCAGTCTCAGAACTCACAGGTTCTTCAAAGTTCCTAGTTTTTAACCCAGTATGCAATATAGTATGAAAAAATTTAAGCTTTGATGCCAATACATTATATACTGTAAAATGAGAAAAATTGGTGCAAACGTATTTTAGCGCAAACGCAAGTGGGAATGCATTGGCGCAAATAAATTTTAGCGCTTGCACTTGTCAGTAAAATATATAAATGTGATATTTTGTTTTTTTTTATCCATACCCTTGTTTGCCTTTTTAGTTAGTCAAGCACGGAAAAACATTTAGTACCCCCGTATATCAGTAAACATTCGTTACCTTTACGGCGGTACGTGTTGCTAACACGTGGACGTTGTACAATGTTAAAATTTATTATTTTATTTCTATTTTCAATTAAGAGAAATGGAGTATTTGCTCATTTAAATCACATTAAAACAATGCATGCATCGACAGAAAATTACTTAGATAAAACGGTAATCCTAATCAGGTATTGTCTGCAAGCTCAATCGCCATGCGTGATTGCATTGTTTACCTCGAGGCGATTGATGATTGACACGCTGAGAAGCCCAACTTTGAAGGTGCTAATGATAATAATCGGGTAACAGCTACCGGGGTAACAATAGTTTAATTAAATTATAATTTGGCAGAACTTCCTGTCTTCCGAACATGTGCAGTACTAGTGTGTATATAAAATCCAATGACCCTTCGACATTACATGTACGTAATCGCACGTTTAGGTTTACATGCACTTATGTAAAAGCTTTGAACACACACAAAAAATGATATTTAGAAATCCTTTAGCGCACAATAAATTTTAGCGCTCAGGGGCTCTTGCGCCAAAGGCGCTAAAATTAGTAGTGCGCCAAATATTCTCGTTTTACAGTATATTCAGAAGTTTAATTTTCAAGAGACTTGCTGATTTTCAGAATATTCAAACTTTGTAAATTTGAAAGGTATATTCTATTTAAAATATTTTTCTAGAAAGAAAGGTAAATTTGAATGGAATGGATGTAAGTAGTTCTGTTGCTTATTGAAGATTATAGATGTTAAATGATGCTTCTTTGATGTGATTCAGAGAAGGAGGATGTGTTTGATAGCATTCAGACAGTGATTGCTCGATTCCTGGATGTTGACCACATCCTGTCAGTGTGTGTACAGATCCCAAAGAAGGAGACACTGAAAACAGCAGAGGCCAACATCAACAACCTTATTCTCCTCAAACACATCCTGGAACTGGTAGACCCACTCAGGAATGCACTCTCCAACTGTGAAAACCGCCTGATGAAACACTTTTACAAGGTATTTCATCTTGTAAAAACACCTGATAAACACTTTTAATAGGTATATCATTTTGTAAAACCACCATGTTTAACTTTACATTTACAAGATATTTCATCTTGTAAAACCACTTAATGAAACACTTTTACAAGGTACATGTACTTCATCCTGTAAAACCACTGGATAAACACTTTTACAAGATAAATCTTCTCAAGAATGACAAAGCCATAATTGATCATATTTGTATGGAAGCATCCTCAGGTAGTGTTCATTCAAGTTTGTTCAAATCATGACCCCCGGGGGTAGGGCGAGGCCACAATGGCCACCCTAAGTTTTACATAGAAATATATAGGAAAATTCTTTAAAAATCTTCTTCTCAAAGCCATAATTGATCATATTTATATGGAAGCATCCTCAGGTAGTGTAGATTCAAATTTGTTCAAATCATGATCCCGGGGGGTATGGCGGGGCCACAAAGGCTAATCAAAGTTTTACAAAGAAATATATAGGAAAATTCTTTAAAAATCATCTTATGAAGAATAGCAAAGCCATGATTGGTCATGGGACTACTTTTGAATATAAACTATTCAATAATAAACCAATTTCTGCTTTTTCCCAGCCAGAGTGCTCAGGTGAGCGATGTGGCCCATGGGCCTCTTGTACAAGATATTGCATCTTGTAAAACCATTGATAAAACGCTTACTTTTACAAGGTATTTAATCTTGTAATACCAACTGATGAAACACTTTTACAAGATACATGTATTTGATATTGTAAAATTATGTGATGAAACACTTTTACTGCATATTGCATATTGTAAAACCACCTGATAAACACTTTTACAAGGTACAATGTATTTCATTTTGTAAAACCACCTGATGAATAACTTTTACAAGATGTTTCTGGATGGATGAATTTCTTTGATTGTCAATGCAGTGCAATTGAAAATACACTAAAAAATGTCTTTTTTTGTTTTTCTTCCATAAAAGCTATAAATCAATTTAAGTAATTTAATTTACTGGAGTCTGGATAACTTTCAGTCACTAGAAGATGGTAGATATGCACTGATGAAAGCCAGAATAGCTAGCATAATTCATGACGATACCAAGTATCAGAAAGGAATGCTGCACATGCGCACTCAAAAGTGTTTTGCAGTGAAGGTGAGTTTTCATCATATCTTATTGATTAATACTATGTTTGCCTGATACTTTGAAGAATTTTAGGAACTTGAAACATAAAAATTTTGTTATGTTTTGTTTTTCAGGGAAGCATTAATGGTAAGGGATGTTAAACATGTACTTATTTTGTTTTTAAGTGATATTTATAAAAACTAAAAAAGTCAAGTTAAATTGAATTGACTTCATCAAAAATATAATTTTTTTATTTTCACTATATCGGTAAGGGGATAAGACTTTAATTCATGTTCTCTTTCTCAATTGGGCCTGAGGAATGAGGTCAAAAGCCATCAAAATTAATGCAATCTTTAGAATTCCTTTTCTTTGGGAATGGGGCAGTGTAGTTATTTGACTTTTGTGAGAAGCGCTGACTTTTACAATCAACTGGGTTTTTTTTCACCAAGGCAATATATGGAAGCTCTTTTGTGATAAAAATATTAAATGAAATGATAAGAATTTGCTATTTCAAAGCATATTTTTTAAGTTGTCTAGTGAGGGATTGAGAACAACAACTCTATCCTTAACTCATTCCCATTTTAACTCCTATTGGCCTGTTGTATTTTTAAGTTTGTTATAGGCTTGCTTGATATTGGAAGAGGAACATATGGCGGTATTATAGAAGACATAAACAGTAAGTTTATATAAGTACAGATTTAATATACCAAACAATGAGAGAAAAAATGTCTTGAATATAAAATGATTTTTATCACAGTGGTCCATAGATCTCTTGTTTTATTGCAGCATTGGCTAACCAGTGGGCAGAAGAATACAATTTACCAATAGTGACTTCGTATAATTCCACTAGAGGCTTTTTTCTGCAACTTAATTGTGGTCCAAAACAAAACTTCAGCAAAGAGAGTCTGCCTGAGATATTTATCAAAGTTACAAAAGCCAAGAACACACTGTGTTTTACCACCACAGAACTGGTAATTTTATTGATATATTTACTATATTCATGGCTAAAATTGATTTAAATTTATTTATGTGAATGTTCTAGATAATCAGGAACTTAAGTTTATGACAGGAAAATAAGTGAGGATGTAAGATTTAAAATAATCTTCGTTGGGATTACAAGAATTATTTTATAAGTTTTATTGTGTGCAAAAGTTAGAAATATATTATTATTTGTTTATCTGTAATTTGTAATTGGCATTAGATAGATTTGCTATGCTTGGTAGTATATCTGATTTTTAAGTATTATCTTGTATTTCAGATTCGCTTGAATAGTAAGATTGTTTAAGATGAATTTTACAGTTTTATTAGATGCATGTGTTATATTTACTGTGGCTTCTGTAATTCAGGTTGTTTTTTTACAGTCCAACCTTGTTATCTCGAAATTCAAGACACCAAAGTCAAAGTGCATGATAAAGAAAAGTTGGAATATCCAACTCAGTTCAACATGTTCATGATATTTGCAATATAGGCATTCCAGATATTATAGATTATACCATTCGTTTTCTTTTGTTAATAAGAGGTACGGTAGTTTCCTTCTGTCCTTAAATGCTTCAAACATATTGTCAAGAGAAAATGCCCAATGATTAAATTTATTTAATTTACATACATGTAATTAAGTGAACAATACTTTGATCAGACAGGGCAAAAGAGGCTTTGGATGAAATATACCTAGTGACCAACATGTAAGTTATGACAAACTCTTATACACATTTACTTTAATTTATCTGAAAGATTTTGTCTGCAATAACTATTTTCGTGACCAAGGGAATATCTTACATTAATACATATTGAAATTATTAGTTTGCATTAAGAAATATTTGCAAGTAAAGCAAGGTTGCAATCAAAACTAACTTGAAATTTCTCACATATGATTAAAGCTGGTTCACAGTTCATAAAATACTGAAAGCACAGAAATCAAGTATAGAAATACTTTGATTTTCTGACATTTTTTCTTTTATTTTACAGAGTAGTGACGGAGCTTTTAGGAGACCTGAGGAACCACTTTGGCTGTCTGTACAAACTGTCAGAGGCCGTGGCTATGATAGACATGTTACAGAGCTTTGCTCATGCCTGTACTTTGTCCAATTATGGTACTGAAATAATTCGGAAAACACTTTCTTATAAATGTAATTGTCAAGAATTGTTTATTTCCTGTCAAAATACTAACGTTAACAGCTTAATGAATACTTTGTGATTTCAGTGAAGCCTGATTTTACCAAAGATACACTTGCCATAAAGCAGGGACGACACCCAATCCTTGAAAAAATCAGCACTGATATGCCAATCCCTAACAATACTGTAAGGAGGTCCGTTTTTCACATAAAAAAAGTAAATACTTGTTTAAGGAAGGCCCACACTTTTACGTATCCGGTTCTAATTTTACACATCAATATAAAAATCTTGATTTTCACTTGTCTGTTGATATAAAATCTTTTTGGTGATTAAAAATGATTTAGCAAGTATATATTTGTTTATTATAGTGTTATTGTGCATAAAAAGCATTTAATATACATTATTTATGAAAATTAACACTATGCACTCTGTCCATAAGATCTATATGACATTTAGTACATACACAGACACAAAATTCTTAATTGTTTTTATGGACCTCAATCTTTTTAATTTTCTTTTAAGCAATCTAACCTGAAATCTATTTTTATTGATTAAGAGCCTACACCATCCATTTAATTTTGACTTTTTAAAAATTTTGCAATGAATACATGTAATTGAAAAAAAAAATGATATTCCAAAAATGGGGGTATACGTCTTCAAAAGACTGTTTTGTTAAAATTCTCAGGTCAACCATAATAAAGTAGGTGTTTTTGTTAACATTAGATATAATTCTTAATAGTTTAAAAGAAAAAATGGCATCTAAACAGTTTGGATTTTGAGAGTTATAAAAAAATAAAGATATTTTGAGATTTTTTCTGAAAGACATGGACAGATTCAACATCAATTTGTTAATGTTTTGTAGTAAAGATTTCAAATATTCTCTTGGCAAATGAATATTTTTGGTCTTCATAAGTTTTAACACAAATTTGATGTGATTTGGTGCATAACTAAATGAATATGATATCACACTTTTTAGCTCACCTGAGCCGAAGGCTCAAGTGAGCTTTTCTGATCAAAATTTGTCCGTTGTCTGTCGTTGTCGTAGTCGTTGTCGTCGTCGTTGTCGTCGTAAACTTTTCACATTTTCATCTTCTTCTCAAGAACCACTGGGCCAATTTTAACCAAACTTGGCACAAAGTATCCTTGGGTGAAGGGGAATCAAGTTTGTTCAAATGAAGGGCCACGCCCTTTTCCAAGGGGAGATAATTATGAATTAGAGAAAAATTAATGGCATTTTTAATAATCTTCTTCTCAAGAATCACTGGGCCAGGAAAGGTGAAACTTATGTGGAATCATCCTCTGGTAGTGTAGATTCAAGTTTGTTCAAATCATAACCCCAGGGGCAAGGGTGGGGCCAAAATGGCCGACCCAAGTTTTACATAGGAATATATAGGAAAAATCTTTAAAAATCTTCTTCTTCAGAACCACTGGGCCAGGAAAGGTGAAACTCATGTGGAATCATCCTCAGGTAGTGTAGATTCAAGTTTGTTCAAATCTTGATCCCCGGGGCAAGGGTGGGGCCAAAATGGCCGACCCTAGTTTTACATAGGAATATATAGGAAAAATCTTTAAACATCTTCTTCTCAAGAACCACTGGAACAGGAAAGGTGAAACTCAAGTGGAATTATCCTCAGGTAGTGTAGATTCAAGTTTGTTCAAATCATGACCCCTGGGGCAAGGGTGGGGCCAAAATGGCCGATCCAAGTTTTACATAGGAATATATAGGAAAAATCTTGAAAAATCTTCTTCTCCAGAACCACTGGGCCAGGAAAGATGAAACTCATGTGGAATCATCCTCAGGTAATGTAGATTCAAATTTGTTCAAATGATAACCCCGGGGCAAGGGTGGGGCCAAAATAGCTGACCAAATTTTACATAGGAATATATAGGAAAAATCTTTAAAAATCTTCTTCTCCAGAACCACTGGGCCAGGAAAGACGAAAATCATGTGGAATCATCCTCAGGTAATGTAGATTCAAGTTTGTTCAAATGATGACCCCCGGGGCAAGGTGGGGCCAAAATGGCCGACCCAAGTTTTACATTATAGGAATATATAGGAAAAATCTTTAAAAATCTTCTTCTCAAGAACCACTGGGCCAGGAAAGATGAAACTCATGTGGAATCATCCTCAGGTAGTGTAGATTCAAGTTTGTTCAAATGATGACCCCTGGGGCTAGGGTGGGGCCAAAATGGCCGACCCAAGTTTTACATAGGAATATATAGGAAAAAATCTTGAAAAATCTTCTTCTCCAGAACCACTGGGCCAGGAAAGATGAAACTCATGTGGAATCATCATCAGGTAGTGTAGATTCAAGTTTGTTCAAAACATGACCTCTGGGGCTAGGGTGGGGCCAAAATGGCCCACCCAAGTTTTACATAAAGATATATAGGGAAACCTTTTAAAATCTTCTTTTCAAGTACTTCAAAACTATGATTAGTGTTATTTATATGGAATCATCCTCAGGTAGTGTAGATTCTAGTTTGTTCAAATGATGAATGCCTGGGGGGGGGGGGGTAAATTCAAGCCCAATGTGCTCAGGTGAGCGCTGTGGCCCCTGGGCCTCTTGTTTATGTTTAATTTTAGTTGTTGAGTTTTTAGAGGTATGTGCGCTGAGACATGTTGTATGAAAATTAATCTGCAAAGATATGTCTTTTATGGGTGTTTTAGTTAGTTTAAGACATATTCAAGGTATTTAACTTGAAAAATTATCAGTTTGACAGAAAGTTCTGAAAGTACGGATTATGATGTAAATTTATTTTCAGTATGCTACTGAAGACAGCAATTTCAATATCATCACTGGTGCAAACATGGTGAGACGATTTACTGTACTTATTTTAAAGTAATTCATGAATATAGGCAAAGAATCAGGGGCAGTAAGCATATATGAGCTGCCCAATATTTTAAAGAAAATTTTATACCAGTGCTATCGTTAAGTTGGTTTATTTTTCATATAACGAGATGTCCAGTTTGATGTAAATAGCAATAAAATTTTCAACATTTGATTCGTAGTTGAGTTATCACGATGTGAAGTTGTGTGATTTTTCCGGAATTGAAAAATTTCCATCAAATTCTCACATTCCAAAGAAGATTTAGATATGGCCGCATGAAAACAACAGAGTAAAAATTTGATAGATTGTTTAAAATGACATAATAAATTATTTCCCAAAATATCATTCTGTTGTTCGCATGCGGCCACCCTGAAAAATATAAAAAACTATGTTTTTGAGGCCGATTTTGATCGCTTCCGGTTTCGGTTTTTATATTCAGACGTAAACAAAGTTGGAGGAAACAGAAAATGTGACAGTAGATTCATCGAAGTTCTAACCATTTAACAGGTAGGGATGAATTGAAAGTCAGAGCAATTGTAATTTTACATCCACTACTTACATGCACTGTTCAAAATTAAATCCCCTCCTAAACTTATTAATGATAAAAGATTCGACATGACAGACCCCGCGAACTCCATGAACTCGGGGGGACGGTAATCAATGCATGTCAAACAGTTGAAAATAGAAAATATGTATTTAAAATATATTAAACAGGAACACAACATGCTATCTTCTTTCAAATAAAAACTAAATTATAAAAAGTTGACTTATTCATCGATTCTCTTTGATTTAGGCCCGAAGTGTTTATTACATATTTTTCTGTCTGAGTACAAATACAACCGAGTCTAGCGTTTGTGTATTCAAGAGACCTTACCCTGGTACCTGTGTACTTTGTGTAAATGTATGGTGTGCTATAACAGTCAAAAATAAAAAAAAAATTGTAAGAGTTTTTTTTTTTTGTTTTTTGTTGCAGAGACATATAAAACCATTGTAAATACAAAACCATGGTTTTATATGTCTCTGGTTGTTGTAAAACCGTTAAAGAAATAAAAAAAAAATTAGTTTCTTAAAAATAAGCTAACATCACTAAATCTAATTAATGTTCTTTGCAGAATAAATAATAATTATAAATAAAATTCTTTCTATTTTTCTTGTGGGAACAATGTATTTTTTGTTGTTTTTTTAATCAATTAATTAAAATATTATTAACGTAGAATTAAACTTTTGTAAGTATTAAAAAAAATAATTAGATTACCAAGGAATATTTCAAATTCATTTAAGTCACCATTTAAATGAAAAAAAAATGTTTGTCATTACAAGGTTCATCTTTTTTGTTTTAATTTAAAGTACACAATAATGTCTTTGCCTCAGATTTTATTCATTAAACTCAAATAGGTAAATCAATAAAACTGCTATTTAAATTGATTTCTTGAATGAAATAATTATATATTATACCTGGTAATATTAATAAATGATTCCCTTTTTTCATATATAAAGAAAATCTTATGCAAATGTATATACACAGTACAAGTAGCCCCCCCCTCCTTCCATAGTTATAGACAAAATGTGCATACATAACATATATAGTAATTTAATTTTGATATTCATATTTTAATTGTAGGATGCCTGGAGATGGTCCAAAACAATATCCTGTTACTGGAGCTGTTACTTGTTGGTATTGTCAGTGCCGTGCCCATGTGACCTCAATATTGTGGTTTCTTGGCTATGAAAGACACACAAACTTTGCAGTAAGACCTACTCAAGACTGGACAGACTACCTTGATGCAGCTGTGCTTCCTGCAGTAATGGATGGCTCATCAGAAAGTGAAATGGGTGCAACGGAAGAGTGACATGAATTGCAACATTGGTTTATTGAGAGTGAACATTATTGAGAGTGAACATTCTGCAGATTATAGGCGTCTCCATATGTGTGAAAATTCTCGAGAGGGATGTTAAACAATATACAATCAATCAATCAATCTGCAAGTTATGATATCCACTGCATTAGGCTCTATGATTTTTTTTTATGTTTAAATTGTGATTTTTTAACCATTGTTGTTTTCAACAATGTAGTGGAAGGCTGTGTATATATTGAACTTTGTTAATAATTAACATGACTATATACACGTACTTGTTATTTTTTGTAATACAATGTAATTACAAAACCTTTCCAGACAAACATGTACTAGTATAACTAATTCTTTGATACTTAGTTCATTTTTATGACATTGTGAGGATGATAAACATTATCTTATTATGAGTAAATGTAGTGTATAAGGCATGAGTGGTGTGATGTTAAACTTCTATGATCTTTTTGGTAAAAGTATAGGTGGGTGATGGTAGTTCTGGAATTTGTTTATGCAAACTGAAATCCCTTATTGTTATTTTTGTCAAGTTTAATGAATTGTTATTAAAAATGTTAGTTGAATACATTTCTTGTTTGTTCACTTTGTGCATTCAATGTATTTTTATGTTAAATACATACAAGCAAATTCAAAGAATTGTGGTGCCCCGCTTTCGGTGTCTTTGTGAGTGAGATGTTATTTTTTCTGACATATTGTGTCTAATATGAACACCATATCATATGTAATTTATTTAGTAATTATTATTGAAATTGATTTTTTTGAAGGATGAAAACCCTAATCCTGACGTTAAAAACTTATGGCCAAAGTGAAAGTTTTAAAAGTAGGTCAACTCCAAGGTCAAGATCAAAGGGTCAAAGTTGTTGATATCCAATGAAAGGTCTTCTCACAAGGATTACGTATGTGAAGTATGAAAGTCCTAGCCATTACCGTTCAAAAGTTATGGTCAAGGTTAAAGTTTATTCATAAGTACGTAAATCTTTAAGGTCAAGGTCAAAGTTGTTGATATCCAATTAAAGCTCCTGCCACAAAGAATATATATGTGAAATATGAAAGTCCTAGCATCTACCGTTCAAAAGTTGTGACCAAAGTTAAAGTTTTTTAAAAGTAGTGAAAACTCCAATGTCAAGGTCAAAGGGTGAAAGTTGTTAGTATCCAATGAAAGGTCTTCTCAAAGGATTACATATTTGAAGTAGAAAGCCCTAGCTCTCACATTTCAAAAGCTATGGTCAAGGTTAAAGTTTATTCATAAGTATGTAAATCTCAAAGGTCAAGGTCAAAAGGTAAAGGTTGTTGGTATCCAATGAAATGTCTTGACTCAAAGAATACATATGTGAAAAATAAATTCCTAGTATCTACTGTTTAAAAGTTGTGACCAAGGTTAAAGTTTAAAAAGTAGTTAAAACTCCAAGGTCAAGGGGTAAAAGTTGTTGGTATCCAATGGAAGGTCTTTTTACAAGGATTACATATGTGAAGTACGAAAGCCTTAGTCCTCACCGTTCAAAAGTAATGGTCAAGGTTAAAGTTTTTTCATAAGTACGTGGAACTCCATGGTTAAGGTCAAAAGGTCAAGGTTGTTGGTATCCATTGAAAGGTCTTGCCACAAAGAATACATATGTAAAATATGAAAGTCCTAGTACCTACTATTCAAAAGTTATGGCCAAAGTAAAGTTTGGAATTTTTGTGTAAAAGTGGGTTAAACTCAAAGGTCAAGGTCAAAAGGTCAAATTTGGTGGTACCCAAAGAAAGGTCTTGTAAAAAGGAATACACACGTGTAATATGAAAGTCATAACTCCACTAAATCAAAAGTTATGGGCAAGGTTAAAGTCTTTGTGACTGACAGACTTACAGACTGACAGACAGATGAATAAGATTTAATGTACCCCCGCTTTCGCGAAAACTGGGCACAAAAACAACTGTTTTACATTCAAATCTGTTATTTCACACTTTTAGCTAAAAAAAATAGTTTCTATTCACATGTATAAGATCATTTCTGTTGTATTTGTATTAAACATCCATCTTTTATTTCTTTAATCATATTTACAGGGAAAAAATATTATTAAGAATTTCCAGAAATCAGTGAAAATAGTGTTATTTTTGTATTGACCCCAAAATGTCTTAATAGTGTTTTTTTCATCAAAATATGTCTAAAAAGGTGTGATTCAATCATAATTCTTTTAATATTTATAATATTTTGTCCATTATGGTTGGGGCATATTTAGGGTCTTAATGCCCCTGATTCTTTCAGTAGATGTTTTATACAATTATATGTACATGTACTTAAAACATTGTTTCTTGTATTATTATAATTGAAATGTTGATGGAAATAATTAAATTTCCTTATAGAGTGGTAAAAGCACCTACCTGAGACAGATTGTGTTGTTACAAATCATGGCCCAGATAGGATGTTTTGTTCCCGCAGAGTACGCCTCATTCAGAATCACAGATCAGATCTTCTCCAGGATCGGCAGTGATGATGATATCGAGTCCAACTCATCTACTTTTATGTTGGAGGTAAAAAAATATAAATTTGCCATAAATAATCAGATCTGAATGGGCATTTTCCTCTATTCTCTGTGTTATATATCCATAATTACATGCCATGACCATCACTATTTCAGATCACATCTTTCAAATTGTTCAACCAATTTGTCTGAAATGCAATACGCTTTGTATGCTCCCAAATGGAATTTTGAGCTAGTTTGTTTCCTGTCACATCCTCTTTACATTGTATATGCATATACATATTTGTGCACATGAATTGTGATAAATCTCTGCATAAGCAACATGGGATCAGATGTAGTATTTTCCATTTATTTAGAATAGTTTTGTATGTTAAGAATAAATTTTAACAATTTCATGATCCCTATCCTTCTGGGACCTCTAAAATTCCTGCAAAGTTAAGAATAGTCACTTTTATATCATTCAGGTGACCTATGCTGTTTTCATCCATTATTTGACTGTTGTAAACTTTTGAATACTATCAGCTTCTTTTCATAAACACCAATAAGCATTCTTTACAAATTTTGGTAATTAGTATATGTTTGAGAAAAATTGCAACCTTACATCTGAAAACCAATCGTTATTCACATATACTCTTCTTTATATACAGATGAAAGAAGTAAACTACATCATTCAAAATGTCAGTCACAGATCACTTTTAATTATGGATGAACTAGGAAGAGGTTTGTGGAGAACAATATTTAATGATTGACATTGAAATTATGAAATAATATGTGGTATGTGTGGTTTGTATTATATTGTATTAAATCTTGAAGTTTTTGGGTAAGCTGTGCTTAAAAGCAATAATGAATACTGTACATTCAGCATTGCTTTCAAACACACTTTAAATTTTTTTTCTCTCATTAAATTACAGGCACAAGCCAAGAGGAAGGTGTTGGAATATGTCATGCTGTCTGTGAATATCTACTCAGATTTAAAGTAAGTTTTTCTTTAATAAATGTTATAGGTGACTTGTTGCTGTCTGTTTTCATATCCTTCTTGCATTGTCTGCTGACATTTGAACATTTGCTGCAACAGTACTTCTCCTCTCGGACATTTGATTAAGTTTTCAACTATTTGGATTAAAAGCGTTTATGGGCAAAGGCTTTCAAAATTTTGAATTTTATGGTCTCTGCCCATTTGGGGCCTGAGGGATAAGCCATAAGAATAAATGCAATTTTCAAAACTTTTCTTCTTTACTACTGGCCGTTAAGCAAAACCATAAGCTTGAATACAAATGCAATAATTCATGATTATTGAGCTCAGAGTTGAGGCTCAAGGGCTGGGGACCAAGTTAGTCATGAGTTCTTGACCTGCCAATGACCTTGCTCTTCAGATGTGCAGATTTTCTATCCTCATACAATTTTTTTCTTAATATTTATTTATAATCTTGCAGTTGTCTGAGTTAAAAATGAATACTAGTATTTTTTATTTCTTCATACTTTATTAATATGAATAAGGGAGAGTAGTCAATTGTGTCATGAATTCCAAATATTTTCATGGGTGATGTTTTTAATTAGAGTGCACTGCTCAGTTTACTTCAGTTTTGAGTTAATAGTACAAACTAAAAAAAATAATATATAGGGAGAATGATCCATGTTATGTAAGTTTGTCAGCATTCTTGACTCGCTACATGCTTATTAATACCATGTGCGTATGATTTTAAAATGCTCCTTTTTCTCTACCAATCAGGCCTTTGTCTTCTTTGCAACACATTTCAAGGATCTTGGTCAACTGGAAAGTTTGTATCCTAATGTACAAAAGTAAGTTTGAAATTCAAATTGTAGTTGAAATTAAAGTTGAAATTTATTACTGTATTTCACCTAAATACTACGCTTTATTTTTTTGATTATTGATATTTAAGGAATCATTGCTTGAGATAAACAAGAGGCCCAGGGGCCACATCGCTCACCTGAGCAATTTGCTAGGAAAAAGCACATATCAGATCAGAACTGAAAGTTTACTGAGGTGGGGGGGAGGGGGGGGCTTGAATTTTAACCTCCCAGGGGGTCATGGTTTGAACAAACTAGAATCTACACTACCTGAGAATGATTCCATATAAATATCATTAAGCATGGATTTGAAGTACATGAAAAGAGGATTTTAAAAGGTTTCGCTATATATACCTATGTTAAACTTTGATCGGCCTTTTTTTGGCCCCACCCTACCCCTGGGGGTCATGATTTGGACAAACTTGAATCTACACTACCTGAGGTTAATTATGTTCCCCAAACGAAGTTGGGGAACATATTGTTTTTACTCTGTTTCTTATTATTAAGGTCTTCCGACTTCCTTCGGAAGACCTTATTGTTATTCGTCTGTTTTTTATTATTATTATTATTATTATTTTTCTTTTTTCATAGTTAGGGCGATATCTCAGCTGTGCGTGGACGGATGTCAAAGATTTTTACTGGTATGATGCATCATATAAATATCTCCAGACGTGTTTTTTATTTTTTTGAAATTCACTTCCGTTCGCGTTTTGGGGGGAAATTTGTATTTTTTAGATGGAATTTTGTCGCAAAAAATTCTCAAGAACAGTAAAAGATATAAAATTGAAACTTAAGGACGTGATAGGACATCGAATGTAGATGTGTTGATCGACCTTCATTTCTCGTCGTTCTGACTTCCGGTCGCAAACGGAAGTGAATTCTAAAAGTCTAATTTTTCAACTTTTTTGTTTTTCACTATTTTTCTTTGGAAATCACAGGGTTGATAGAGTATCTTTCAAGAACTCTAAATATGTTTTCAACATTTTCATGCGTGCATTTGTTGCAAAGATATGACCGATCCAAACTTTGTCTCACTGTCGGGGGTTCGAATCCCGCTCGGGGCGTTGCAAAAATTTTTTCTTTGTTTCTGTCTTTTTTTCAGTTGCAAAGACTTTTCTTTATTTTTTATAATGTATGGAAGATTTTGTCGAATTTTAAAAGCCATATCTTGAGATATTTTGTGGAATAACTGTAAAAATCACGATCTATGTTGAGAGACTGCTGTCAATGAAAGTAAACGATAAAAATACATTCTGAAATTTATTTCATGGCCTGATGGAGCAGAGATTTCTAACGAAAAGTAGGGCGGAAGACCTGCTTGTTGCCCTAGCAACAAGAACGCATCTAGTTATTATTATTATTTTTCTTCTTCCTGGGAAAATTTTGTCCACGAATGATCTTGTAAACTACACATCCGACTAAGGTAATATGTTTTTAGGGTCAGTAGACATGTTATGCAGATTTGCCGAACGAAGGTCATTTTGCGCGCACGTGCTTGCAAGAGCGCGCACGTGCAACACATGAAATGACCAATATAATGGATATTGCTGTAACTTTTCTTTTTTGGATGAATTTTTTTGAAACTCATAATGTAAGTAGACATTAGTAGTATTGACAAGATGGCATGGTCAAAATAGCAAGATCTCACGCGCATGCACGTGCGCTTCGCTCTGATTGGCTGAAACTAAAGTCTCAATATCTTTCTTGTTTCTTGTCATAATCTTTTGAAATTTTGCACATCGTCCTGCATTATAAAGATCTACAGCATGATATATAAAAATTTTCATGAAAGCATGCGCATGCGTGCGTGCTGCCATCTGATTGGCTGAAACTTTAAATGGCTATATCTCCTTTGTATTTTGACGAAATGTTTTGAAATTTAAAACATAGTCATGCTTTAGGATATCCTAAAATATGATATAGAAAAAAATTCATGAAATCACACGCATGCACGTGTGCTGCAATCTGATTGGCTGAAACTTTATATGGCTATATCTCCTTTGTTTTTTGACGAAATGTTTGGAATTTTAAAATATAGTCATTCATTTAGATATCCTTCAATGCGATAGAGATAAAAATTTATGAAATCACGCGCATGCATGTGTGCTGCAATCTGATTGGCTGAAACTTCAAATGGCTATAACTCCCTTGTTTTTCAACCAAACAGGATGGGATTTAGAACATAGATAAATATAAGGGACTGCTACAAGAAGGTGTAGTCATTATGCATGTGCGTGCACGTGAAATGACTTAAATTAAAAATACACTCGAATGAGTGTATTTTTTAATACTTTTGGATTAAATGCTTTGATATTAAGTATATTAAAATTTTAGATGGTGTAGTCAAGATAATATGGTCGTTACGCACATGAACACGCGTGCAATGGCTATTTTTAAATATATTTTGTATTTTTCTGGGAAGACCTTGATTAAGTCTAAATTCCATAAAGTATTTCTTATTTAATAGAGACTACAGGGAATATGGCACCAAAAGGAAGTTGGGGAGCGTTTGGGGAACATCTGTAACGGTCCCCGTTACAATTAGCACTAGTTTCACATGAGTTTAATCTTTCCTGTCTCAATGGTTCTTGAGAAGAAGATTTTTAAGATTTTTTTCTATATATTCCTATGTAAAACTTTGATCAGCCATTTTGGCCCCACCCTAGCCCTGAGGGTCATGATTTAAACAAACTTGAATCTCCATTACCTGAGGATGATTCCACATGAGTTTCATCTTTCCTGGCCCAGTGGTTCTTGAGAAGAAGATTTTTAAAGATTTTTCCTATATATTCCTATGTAAAACTTTGATTGGCCATTTTGGCCCCACCCTAGCCCCAGGGGTCATGATTTGAACAAACTTGAATCTACATTACCTGAGGATGATTCCACATGAGTTTCATCTTTCCTGGCCCAGTGGTTCTTGAGAAGAAGATTTTTTAAAAATGCCATTAATTTTTCTCTAATTCATAATTGTCTCCCCTTGGAAAAGGGCGTGGCCTTTCATTTGAACAAACTTGAATCCCCTTTACCCAAGGCTACTTCGTAGCAAGTTTGGTTGAAATTGGCCCAGTGGTTCTTGAGAAGAAGATGAAAATGTGAAAAGTTTACAACGACGACGACAAATTTTGATCAGAAAAGCTCACTTGAGCCTTTGGCTCAGGTGAGCTAAAAATGTTAACTGTTTCTTCAATATTTTGATTTTTTTAAAAAAACGGAATGAAAATGAAATTTCTGAAAGTTAGACATTGTTTTCATAGGTTATTTAAAAAATCAAAGTGAAATAATTTTCCAATGTTTTACCAAATATAAATCAACTTGTAGTTTCTAGCTCTACTGGTCAGAGCCCAGAAGAGCTTATGTGATAGTAATGCCTCCATCGTCCGTCCGTCTAGCTGTCTGTCTGTCTGTAAACAATTTTTCAAAATGCTACTTCTCCTACAGTTTTGATCTGATTTCAATTTGACTTGGCTCACAAGTAGACTATACTAAGATACATAATAAGATAAGATAAGAATTACTTCTGTGCATCGGTTTTTGATTTCGATGAACGATGTTGCCGTGGTGACTAAAAATAGATATTTTTGTGAAATGCTTTCAAAATGCTCCTTCTCCTACAGTTTTGGTTTGATTTTAATATAACTTAGCACACAAGTAGACTACACTAAGATACATAATTCTGTGCATAAGTTATTGATTTCAATGAACGGTGTTGCCTTGGTTACTAAAAATAGAAATTTCTGTGAAATGCTTTCAAAATGCTTCTTCTCCCACAAGTTTGATCTGATTTCAATATGACTTGGCTCACAAGTAGACTACACTAAGATACATAATTCTATATATCCGTTTTTAGCTCACCTGAGCTGAAAGCTCTAGTGAGCTTTTCTGATCACATTTTGTCCGTCGTCCGTCTGTCTGTCTAGCTGTCTGTCCGTCTGTAAACTTTTCACATTTTCGACTTCTTCTCAAGAACCACTAAGCCAATTTCAACCAAACTTGCCACAAAGCATCCTTGGGTGAAGGGGATTCAAGTTTGTTCAAATGAAGGGCCACGCCCTTATTCAAGGGGAGATAATTGGGAATTAATGAAAATTTGGTTGTATGTTTTAAAAATCTTCTTCTCAAGAACCACTGTGCCAGGAAAGATGAAACCTATGTGGAAACATCCTCAGGTAGTGTAGATTCAAGTTTGTTCAAATCATGACCCCCGGGGGTAGGGCGGGGACAAAATGGCCGACCAAAGTTTTACATAGAAAATTATAGGAAAATTCTTAAAAAATCTTCTTCTCAAGAACAGCAAAGCCATAATTGATCATATTTATATGGAAGCATCCTCAGGTAGTGTAGATTCAAGTTTGTTCAAATCATGACCCCGGGGGGTAGGGCGGGGCCAAAAATGGCCGACCACAGTTTTACATAGAAATATATAGGAAAATTCTTTAAAAATCTTCTTCTCAAAAATTGCAAAGCCATAATTGATCATATTTATATGGAAGCATCCTCAGGTAGTGTAGATTCAAGTTTGTTCAAATCATGACCCCCGGGGTAGGGCGGGGCCACAATGGCCGACCACAGTTTTACATAAAAATATACAGGAAAATTCTTTAAAAATCTTCTTCTCAAGAATAGCAAAGCCATAACTGATCATATTTATATGGAAGCATCTTCAGGTAGTGTAGATTCAAGTTCAAATCATGACCCCCGGGGGTAGGGCGGGTCCACAATGGCAGACCACAATTTTACATAGAAATATATAGGAAGATTCTTTTAAAAATCTTCTTCTCAATAATAGCAAAGCCATAATTGATCATATATATATGGAAGTATCCTCAGGTAGTGTAGATTCAAGTTTGTTCAAATCATGACACCCGGGGGTAGTGCGGAGCCAAAATGGCCGACCACAGTTTTACATAGAAATATATGGGAAAATTCTTTAAAAATCATCTTCTCAAGAATAGCAAAGCCATGATTGGTCATGGGACTATTTTTGGATTTAAATTTTTCAATAATAAACCAATTGCTACTTTTTCCTAGCCACAGTGCTCAGGTGAGCGATGTGGCCCATGGGCCTCTTGTTTATTTTGATGAACGGTGTTGCCTTGGTTACTAGAAATAGAAATTTTTGTAAAATAATTTTAAAATGCTATTACTAATACAGTTTTAGTTTGATTATGACATAATGTGGTATGCAGATACACCACACTAAGATACATTATTGTCTTTATCGTTTTTTTATTATATTTATTTTGATGAATGATGTTGCCCTGTAACTAAAATTGAAATTTTTAAAAAAAATTATTGAAAGCTAGTCTTACAGTTGTGGACTTGTTGCAATATTGTCACAAAAAAGTGACTTAATTAAGTATCATTATTCTATTTATTGCTGTTTTAAAGTTTCAAGTCCCAACTGCTACTTTTCTTTTCATTTGTTATAAGTATTACTATTAACCAGTAGAGCTAAAGTCTCGACTCTGTGAAAATAGTCTATTAAGCATCAAAGTATATACCTTAGTATAATTATCAAAGAGAAACTTTTTTATAATAAAACAAATAGCAGCTAGCTAGAAATATATATATATTTTTCAGCTACTGTTTTATGATTCACAAAACATTTAATGAGGAGGATCAAAGTGAGAAAGTGGTGTACACTCATGTATTGACAAAGGGACAGAACAAAGAGGAGCATTATGGTACTAAAAAGCAGTGCTTAGTTTCAAAGTCAAAATATCAGAAAATCAAATCAGCAATTGTTTTTTGTTAATTTTATTATGTTTTGAATGCTTGATTGAAATCCTGACACTTGTAAATTGTTTTAAATGCTAATATTGATAAAATTTAAACCACATAACTGTTATGCTTGTAGGTATAAGATTAGCAGAACTATCAACTCTTCCAAGGGATGTGATTCAGAAAGCTAAAAGTTTGGCTTCTTCAATTTCTTCTAAAAAGGGGGTATGTTTTACATATTTTTTTTAAAAAATTCTTGCCCTCATGCCCCCAACCCCTCAGCTTAGACTAGATTCTTATTTTTAAGTGCATACTGAATATATTTTAATTAAACCAAGTACATGTAGTACTTTGCTGAGTAATATATAAATACAAGTTTCTTTCTCTCTCATATTTTTCCAGAGACAACCTGAAGTTGACAAGGAAACGAAGGAAAAGAGAATCATTTTTAAACTCTCTGGACGATTGGTTCAGTTGTCACGAAACTCGAAACTCAACAAAGAGGACTTGAAATCTTACTTAAAGAGCTTAAAAATGCAGTATAGGACAGACACAAAATCTCTAGAGGAATGATTGTTTTTAGAAAGTGGTGTTTTTAAATGAGTGCTTGTCAAACGATTTGTTCAAATTAAATTTCCAAGCTTTTTCTTTCTTGAAGATAAGTAAAGCTTATCAAATGCAAAAAATAAAATATCATTGAGAAAAGACAATTTGTTTAATGTCTGACAATGTTTCATGCTCCATTATGTGAAGAGAACGGGATTATCGCAGAGCAATCAACTGCTGAATTTTTTTCAAAAGAAAAAAATCATTTTTAAAACAAGATGAGATTTATTTCTGTAAAATTCAGTACTTTGCATTCTTCATGTCATGCAGACAGGTGTTACCAATATACAATGGGTCAGTGAGAAGGGAAGTCTAGATCCAACGGATTTCTGTTCTGCCTCTGCTGCTCCCTACTTTTCTTATTCTGTTGATGGTTTCCATTTTGTTTGAAGATTGGAGTATCTGTTATCCGGAATGTAAAGGGCACTTCTGTTGAAAGGCAAAAAACATTGCAAAATTCACAAATAAATCTATTTTGAATAATATTCAAATATCAGTATCCTTCCAAATAAATATTGACATGCACTTACCACGACCAGTTTCTGGAGAGTTTCTCTTACTGTTTGAAATGCTACCTAAAGAAGTACTTGCACTAATGCCTGAGAAAAAGAGAAGTGTTTTTAATATAGAAAAAAATTTAAGTAAATATACATTTTTTTCAATAATGGTATATTAACTGGACACCTGCCTTGATCTGAGCCGATTGGCATTGTGAAGTTAGCAAGAGGATTCCAGGCCTTGCCACTGCTTACAGCATCACCACCTTCAAAAGTGGATGGAGTTATGCACTTTCTTTTTAAGGCATCAAACAATGACTGAAAGCAAAATTATAGTAGTCAGCTCAAAACATCACTCATCTCAGTAACAAAAATTGCATCGATGTAACATTAAGGAATGCAGCTGTTTCAATTCAATCTAATCTACAATTCAACAGATTTATTTTCGTAAAATGCCTATGAAAAAATCGGAACAGAAACTTCTGCAGTGGAGCTAGAAACCAGAAATTGTAAACAATATGGAAATTAAGAGAACAGATTTAGTTTTAAGAACGCAGGAAGATGAAGTAAATTAAGTGTAAAGAAAAGAAAATCCTAAAACAAGGCAAGAATAAGCCTCTTGAAATCATTTTACCTGTAATTTTTGATATTGTCGATTTTTCTCTACAACTTTCTCGCTAGCTTCATTATACTTTTTCTTAAAACTCTCCAAATCTTTTTTGGTTGCTGAAAGTTAAATACAAACAGTATTGATTGTGTAAGATATCTTCTTTGATGAAAAAAAAAATGTAAATCACTTAATTTTAGCGACATCATATTTTCACGAGTTTATTCTCCACTTTTTCTTAGCGAGACAAAACTTTACAACTTGTGGCTTTCACTCTTTTTTCTCTTAAGAAACACTAGTATGCGCGAGTCATTCGGTATTTGACTTAATGATATATTGTTTTGTCACCAACCACCTCGTTTTAAAAATTGTTCCTTCGTAGAGCATGTTCTTGCATATCGAATCAACTAAGAGATATAAACTCCGTATGCAGGTGATGAAAGTATATTGCTGCATAAGTAAGGGAGGTTGACGATTGAAAAGTCGTCAGGTTTATCAAATTTTTGTTGTTATGTTACCATTAACGTCTTTCTCTTGTAAAATCTAAAATTGAAACACATGTATCGGACTCTGATATCATCAATTTCAAGCTCATTGGAATCTTTACTCATATGAAGACGCCTTCTGGAATATACCATGTCGACATTATGAATGGAAATTACATTCAATTTGTTAATTGAAAGTACGTCGTCGGTTTAGCTAAATGTCGATTTGAAAGCCATAGCAAGGGTTCTCTTTTTCTCTATTAAATGTTTTTAATAAATTCAGCTTCATATGAATAAAACATAAGTGATTAAGTCTCCTAATAACAGGGTGCAATTAGTACCAGTGGGGATTCTAACAGATTGTTGGAAGATATTGTCTCAAAATTATATGTCAGTTTTGAATACTTTTAATACTAATATCCAAAAGAACCAAAATGAACTTCAACTACCATGTATATATTGGATTTCAATACTTCATAAGAATCCTTACAAAGATACATAGTGGGTTCCAGTAAATGTTCAACCAAGCATCTTTCTTTGTGTATAAAAAAGGCAAAAACCATCACGTTGGAAGACGTCACGGAGAAATAAAATTTAGTTTTGCATTTGAGAAACCTCTACTACAAACTTTGAAATTTTACATAAACCAGGAAATATTTGAAAAATAAGCAACGGTTTGGTATAAAATGGAAAACGCAATATTTTGAGTAATTAAGATTTGGAATCGGAAGATATATGGTCTGCAAAGAAACAGGTCATAGTTAAAAATTTTGTGAAAAGGGTTAGGAACGCCTTGGAACGTTTTTTTGTTTTGTTTTTTTTACGAATGGAGAATACGCTACAAACTGTGTATGAAATTAAAAGGCAGAGTAATTTTGAGAAACTATATTGACGTTTTATTTGACTTTACAATGTTGGTTAACCGTGCTCCGAGGTTTCAAATCATATTGATTTGAAAATTTGCTAACGTGAGTTCTAATTACTCAAATGGTATAAAATTTCACAATTCGACAGAATAAATGTTTTATTTACGAAAACGTGATAATAATATAACGATGGGAAGCATTGTCTAGTAGACTTATTTTTCGAATGGCCCTCGTACATTCATCCCCTGCATACGGAGTATATATATCTCAGTTGGTTGGATACGCAAGAGCATGCTCTACGTATGAACATTTTCTTAAACGAGGTAAACAATTAAAAAATAAGTTGATGAAATAAGAACACCAGCAGTCTCGTTTAAAGTCATCATTTCGTAAGTTCTATGGTCGTTACAATGACCAATTTATCGTTGAGTCAAATGCTGACTTGTGTTTTTCATACTAATTGTTCATGTATTATTTATACACTGAGTTGACGAAGGATTTTTCCGTTGTTTCCCGATCATGACAAGGAGCATACTGCGGGTGTGACCTGTCGGCAGGGGATGCTCACTTCTCCATGTACCTGATCCCACTTCTGATGTTTTGGAGGTCCATGTTTGCTTTGCTCCTATTTTGTACTGCTATATGTACTTTTGATCTTGAATACTATTCGCTACCTCTATATAATTCAAACTACACTCGTTCCCATTGAAAAGTTAAAATGGTTAAGGAAAAGGTTAAGGAAAGTCTATATTTGGACTTCCCCTGCCGACTGGTCACACTGCCGTGTTCTCCCTGCCATGATCGGGAAATAACGGAAAAAGCCGTCGACAGATCAGTTTATAAATAATGGACTAACAATTAATATGAAAAACGCCAGTCAGCATTTGACTGAATGAATGATAAATTGTATTTGTCGACAAGGTCATTGTATCGACCATAGAACTTACGAAATGATGACTTAAAACGAGACTGCTGATCTTCTTATTTCATCAACTTGTTTGTTAATAATGTACCTTGTTTTAAAAATTAATAATACGTAGAGCATGCTCTTGCGTATCGAATCACTGAGATATATAAACTCCGTATGCAGGTGATGAAGGTATATTGCTGCATAAGTAAGGAAATTGACGATATAAATGTTTGCCATTAACGTCTTTTTCAAGTAAATTATTAGAGTATGACACAGATGTGTCAGACTCTGTCATGAAGACCTAACTCTTGATTTACATAGATACAGTAATTAAAAACTAAATATTGAAGACCTTAAGTTAAATCATTAATTTTAAAAAGACCAAAGTTAAAGGAACCACGATCTTTTAAACTGGCGTCATAATTTTATAAACATGATTTCTGTGAATTTGACACGTTGTCAAAATGGATTATAAATGCATCAGATGTACAAATGTATGTTAAAATCTCGAGATTGAGTAGCAAAACGAAAACCAACAGTTTCCTTCTGTGTTCAGTAATTTAGAAGTGAAAAAAGAATTAGATTACATGATCAATATATACTGGTCCCTGCTGACAAAGCAAGTAACAATATTTTCTTTGTAAGGCTCATTATTTAAATTATACCCGCACTTTCGAAAGAAAGTTCGGGTATATTGTTGTTACTCATGTCCGTCCGTCCGTCCGTCTGTCACACTTTTCTTCCCTGAACTCCTCCTACATTTTTCACAGTAGCTTAATCATCCTTTGGGAGATGGTTGGGGGTGTCATGTAGATGTGCAGTAAGGTTTCGGAATTTTGATTTTGCCCCGGGGGATCAAATGGGGGTCGAAAAATGACGTTTTTTATACAAAAAGCCCCTTCTTCCCTGAACTCCTTCTACATTTTACTCAGCAGCCTAATCATCTTTTGAGAGATGGTTGGTGGTGTCATGTAGATGTGCAGTAAGGTTTCGGAATTTTGATTTTGCACCGGGGGATCAAATGGGGGTCGAAAAATGACGTTTTTTATACAAAAAGCCCCTTCTTCCCTGAACTCCTTCTACATTTTACTCAGCAGCCTAATCATCTTTTGAGAGATGGTTGGTGGTGTCATGTAGATGTGCAGTAAGGTTTCGGAATTTTGATTTTGCCCCGGGGGATCAAATGGGGGTCGAAAAATGACGTTTTTTATACAAAAAGCCCCTTCTTCCCTGAACTCCTTCTACATTTTACTCAGCAGCCTAATCATCTTTTGAGAGATGGTTGGTGGTGTCATGTAGATGTGCAGTAAGGTTTCGGAATTTTGATTTTGCCCCGGGGGATCAAATGGGGGTCGAAAAATGATGTTTTTTATACAAAAAGCCCCTTCTTCCCTGAACTCCTTCTACATTTTACTCAGCAGCCTAATCATCTTTTGAGAGATGGTTGGTGGTGTCATGTAGATGTGCAGTAAGGTTTCGGAATTTTGATTTTGCCCCAGGGGATCAAATGGGGGTCGAAAAATGACGTTTTTTATACAAAAAGCCCCTTCTTCTCTGAACTCCTTCTATATTTTACTCAGCAGCCTAATCATCTTTTGAGAGATGGTTGATGGTGTCATGTAGATGTGCAGTAAGGTTTCGGAATTTTGATTTTGCCCCGGGGGATCAAATGGGGGTCGAAAAATGACGTTTTTTTTATACAAAAAGCCCCTTCTTCCCTGAACTCCTTCTACATTTTACTCAGCAGCCT